GAGTAGCTACCTCCATTAATGATCTTAGCTAGATCTTCTGGATAATTTGCTGCTGCTTCTCCATCAGCACTTGCTGCTTCAACTGGTACTTTTCTGTTATGGAAACAACTTCTTTCCTTAAACATTATAAACCAACCTCTGTTAACTTCTAATTTTTCTTCCATAGCTTCCTGACCTCTCTTAGCCTTCATATTATAGAATTGAAGAGTGTTAGGGCCTTACTGTTGATTAGGATTGCTAGTTTTTTGTTTGTTTGTTTGTTTGTTTGTTTTTTAACAAATAGCTTAAGTATTTTATTTGTTTGCAACTAATTTGTTTGCAACTAAGCTTGTTAACACTATATAATGAAAATTTACAAAGAATAATGTTGCAGTTTTTGGTTATATTTAAGTCAAAGACATTCATTAATAAGGAATCTTCGAATGAGAATGTTCCAGAAATTTCTCTAAGCCATCTGATCAGAACAACTGTCTCTGAATATCTGAAGGTACTCGCATACATCTGAATTACACTCAGAATTTTTCAAAATAAGCCCTAATTAAAAAAACTATTTTATATTCAAACTAAAACAATATTAATAGAACTTTCCTTTCCAGAAATAATAATAAAGGAAACAAGGCATTTTGTAAAATGTGGTCCTGAACAAGTCACAGTAAAAAATGAATGTATACTTAACTTCCACCTCCTCAAAACAGAAGCTACTTTCTGTTCCTCAGCCTTGGAAAAAAGGTGAAGAACAGCCTATAAGCAACTTCGGGCAGGGAGTTGCCAAAACAAAGCTCAAGCAGTTGAACATGGACACCTCAAAAGAATTTGGGGGAACCTGACCAAAGGATCCAAATTCTATTTTTAATAACTGATACAAAGGTGAAGTCGCTCCTCCCAAGTAGCAGTGCTGCCAGGGCCTGGCCCAGCCCCAGGCCCAAGCTCACCTATGTTATGTTCCCGAGCAAACCCTGATGCTCCTGCTGTAGGGGAGATCTTCTCCCTTTAGAGGTTCAGTGTCCAGGGAGCTCTTTGATTGTGTAAATGAGGTGAGCACTGACTCCATGCAGGTATTTTAAGGCTTGGAGTCAAAGTATTTTTCTAACACAGCTAGGCAGAGTCCATGTGTCAATGGCCCGTCTCCAGTTTATTTTAACTTCTCACTGCACATTTGTAGATCTAGAACCACAGACCTTCACTATATCATCATAATCACATCTAATGTCCATCCTAACTTATGATTCATATTCTGTGCCTGGAAACAGTCCCTGTATTTAACAATAATACCTACACATAAAACAATCCACTGTTATAACTTATACGGTCACAAAACATTAATGATCTTCTGTAGACCAAGCAAATGTTTTAAACCATAATTGTCGTGCATCAAATTCACAGCCAGAATTCCCAAGACCAAAAAAAATTTTCACAATACAAATAACTTAAAATACACATACACACGTATACACACACTCTCACACACACTTCTTACAGAACTGTGCTTGGGGAAACTCCATTTGTTGAGTGCCACTAAAGGCATATTTTGCTAAACTGTTGCTCCAGGTATTTTTGTTTGAAAAATCTATCACAGTAGGGCACAGCTGTTTATTGGATGAGCAGAAAAGAAAGATATGCTTGTAGCAACCAGAAAGTTTTAAGGTCTTTCAAGTTGTATAAAATGGACCTGCAAAAACGTTTAAGTGTTCTCAGGATGAAAAGTTGGAGCTGAAATGTGATATCAAATCAGTTGCAAAAAGTGTACAGCTGCCATCTCTTGAGGTCAAACCTGATACCCAGCTATGCAACAAAAGCTTCAGGACACATAGCTTGTTGGCCTTGTCCCATACTGTCGCATAATCTGATCATGTGTGAATTTCACAAAAGATTCATATTGTTCTGCTAGTTTGGTGTTGAGGATTTGCTCACACTCCTCCCAAATCTTATCTTCCTAGTCTTTTAAGAGAAGCTCACATATTATTCCAACTTGTCGGAGGGTAAAGGTGGGCTGGGCTGGTCCTTCTTCATCCAGGAGGTACCTGGAGAACTAGGTGCTGTGAGTGCCCAGGAGTGAGGTTGACTTTCCGAAGCACAAGCTTCACTCTGATTAAGAACCACTTCTAAATATCTCCACCTCTGATAACGACTATATTCTTGTTTAATGTTCTGAAAAATTTGCTCTGGAGTTGGAAGGCGCCGCTCGCTGCCGGGCGGAGCGGGCTGCTGCAGAGTTGGCTGTGGGCTCTGTGTCTGAAGCGGCGGTGGTGGCGGCTCTGCGTCCGGGGGCCTGAGGCCCGGAGTAGGGCCGGGGAGAGGGGCTCAGCAGCGCCGCCTCGAACTCCATGGGCCGTTTCAGCGTGGCCCCGCTCGCCATGCCGCTGAGGGGCCAAGCGGATTGCTAGCTTTTGATTAAAAGTGAAAGACACGTGACCCTTCCTTTCACTTGAACACTAAGAGTCTGTTGTAGGGTTATGGATTGGCCTAATTTCAGTATTGCTGTATCTCAGGGAATAGGGAGGCCTGAGGAGAGGAAGAGAGATTAGGGAACAGCTGGTTGATAGAGCAGTCAGAACACATACATTTATCCATTAAGTTTACCATTGTGTATGGGTATAGCTCATAGCACCCCATAATAATTATAATAATCACATCAATAATCCTGGATCACAGATTATAGCAGATATAATAACGATAATGAAGAAGTTTGAAATATTACAAGAATTGCCAAAATGTGACTCAGAGACACCAAGTCAGTAGATGCTGTTGAAGAAATGGTTCTGATAGACATGCTCAATGCAGGGTTTTCGCAAAACTTCAATTTGTAAAATGCAGTATCTGCCAAGTGGAATAAAATGAAATATGCATGCATACAAATATTCCTTATGGAGTGATAATCCACTGATTTAAAATAAACATTTTATAGTGCTTTAGTATATAGATTTATAGTATATAGACTTATATTATTCTAAAACTAATTCTGAGAGACATTGCCACCATAACTAGATTGTCCATCTTTTCCCTTAGTTTGACACATAACACCAGATAGTCAAACAATTCCAGCATTTACTGAAGCACATGAAATGGAACTCAATAGAAGAGAAAACTAAATTTAAATATTTATGGGAACAATAGAAAGGACTGGGGTTGAGATACACAGTAGCAATGAATAGAAGAACCACCAGTTTAAAAATAAGTGTGTGCACATGCACACATTTGGTGGAGAGAGGCAGAGAGGAAAAGATAAAAGGAAAACTTGCACAAAGAAATGATAAATGAGGTGATGGATACCCCAATTACCCTGATTTGATTAATTCACATTGTATGCCTATATTAAAACATCACATTAACCTTTTCAAAATATACAACTATTATGTACCCGTAATAATTAAAAAGGAAAAAGAGATGACAGATTCCAATCTGGGTGCCCATATTGCCCCAACTGTACCACCATTAAGAGAAGTCAACTTTTGGAAAACATGCTTTTGTGATAGATCTGATATGCTAAATTTGAGAACCGAAGCAATCCAATGGAAGTACCAAGTAGAATGTTGGGAAATGTATAACTAAAGCTCAGGAACCAGAAGAGAGCAGTGAACATTAACGTGGAGTTGTCTCATCCAAAGTGGAAAGAAGGGGAGCTACAATATTAAAACTAACATCCCATGCCTGCCAAGGGGCCATCTCTGTGCTTTAGACTACATTGTGCATTCATTCATTTTTAATCCTTATATAATACAACTTAAGAAGTAGAGTTATTAGCCTCATTTCTACACTAAGGAAACCAAACCTCAGAAATGTTAAGTCACTTGACCAAGGAACTGAAGTATCTGAGTTCAATGCCCTTCCTCTTTTCACTATATGGTACTGCCTTTTCAGCATATCTGGAAACATGGAACAAATGAGATTTCTAAGCAAGTAAATGTGGAGAAAGGAAAAGGGAGCCAAACATAGAAGTCCAAACTTACCTCTATCCTACAGAGCCATAGAGCCTTCCAGCATTGGTATATTCCATAATTTTCCTAAAAAGCTCAATGAAAGCTTCTATGGTTCTGTGAAAATCAGTCACCTGTGGACCTTTGGTTTCCATAGCAAGGTATACTCATGACAATTATCTTTAGGGCATATAACGAAATATAACAGGCCAGTGAATTAATTAAACCTCCCATAGTTGCTAATTTGTTCCTACTTGCATTGCTCAGCCTAGAGTTATTTATACTAAAAATTATTATCTTTATTACTTACCATAAATTCCCACACTATGGGATAGGCTAGAGCTTTAGGAACTTGGCAATTACTAAGAACTTCTGAGAATTTAATGTTTGGAAACCCCTTTCCACAGCAAAATGTTACTGACTACAGATCCTGCTTCTCAGACAATTTGGCTGGCTTGGCCTCTGATCTTGTTCCTTCCTGGCTTTGCTAATATTCCTATCTGCTATATAGTTTAATAGGCTAAACAAGTAAACTCTGTACTAAACACATATTTTTAATCTTTTAAAGAAAAATCTCCCCAAAATTTTCCTGGGCCATTCTTCTAGGAATTCTCTTTCGTCTGTTTATCTTGTTCTACATTTGCATTCCATGGAACAGAGAAGATGAAACAACCCAAGAATAAATTTTCTTTCATTAGAGTTTTTCCTCTCATTTTTTAACTTCTGGATTTCTTCTCTAAAGGCATTCTGGAAATTTACTAAGTAAAGCTCTTTCACATTATCCAAACAACTAATCAACTTAGCCATATGCTTTGCAATTTCAATGAAGGGAAAAAATGTAATCAGTTTCTAGGTTGAATTAAATAGTTTTCCTAACTGTCAGTTCAACTAAATGGATTGCAGTAACAAAGGCATTCGGTCATAGAAGTGATACAAGAGAGTAAGCAGAGGAATCTGCAAAGAAGGGAAGAGTTTTCTTCTGAGTTTAGGTTGGTACTTTCAATTGGATGAAATTTTGTTAAATATAAACATTGAGTTATAAGAAGGAAACACAAATATGAGAAAAAACTGCATTGATTCACTTACTGAAACAACAACAACTGGATATAAAATAGAAAGATTACTCTCTTCAAGTACACTCAGTAACTTCTGGGTTTCTTGAAAATCAGAGGTCATAACCTGAAAGAGGACAAAAAAACAAAAGGAAATGAAAAGAGGTTCTTAAATGATTTAAATATTAATTAAAGGAGAGATTTCATATAACATTCAAAATATTTATGAAGCTTAATTTTTAAACAATTTTAAAGAATACCCCTAATGTTATATATATTAAAATTTGAACTATTAATTCAATTTTCTACTTATTGTGTTATTATCTAATTTATACCAAAATGGAAAATTGAAAATATTGCCTAAAAATAAAAAATCACCCTCTTCTGTTTATGGGACATAGCATATTAGGAAGTGTTATTATTTTCCAATAAATATTAAATAATACAACTCCTCTGTTACAATCACCTAGTCAAATATTTAAGAATCAAGAGAAATTATTTCTCTTCCAAATTACATTTGTATACACCCTCAAGTGCTTTCAATCATTTGTGTTGACTACTTACATTCACACAAACAAAATTATAGCACTGCTTTAAGATGATTTGCTGAAGATCTCCACGAGCATGACACAGAGCCCCAGATGTGACTTTCACATGCTAAGAAAAAAGCATACAAGAAAAATAGTTTACAAACTAGATTGACCAAACATGACCATAAACGTCTTTATTACAAAGGAGCACATAATTGCTATAGGACAGACACATAAAGCCAAGAACCATATATAAAAATAAATCCAGGACTAAGTTTATCAGGCTAGCAAGAAAAAAACATTTGAACTAGGCCATGAATGATGAATATTATTTTAGTAAATCAGTATATAGTGAATTATTTCAGATAGGAAAAAACGTACATATATATATGTGTGTGTGTGTGTGTGTGTGTGTGTATGTATACTTATATATATTCATTCAGGAACAGGCAAGTAGTCTGGTTTATCTTATTTCAGATAGGAAAAAACGTACATATATATATGTGTGTGTGTGTGTGTGTGTGTGTGTATGTATATATATATATATTCATTCAGGAACAGGCAAGTAGTCTGGTTTATCTTATACGAAGAAGTATTGCAGAGAATGTTGAAAGACTAAAATGGAAAGGTTGCAGGGATGGTTGTAGGAATCTGGAAGCATGTTAAACACTACAGTTACAATGAATAAACTTCACTAAACATGGAATAACTAGAGGCAGGGAAAGCGGTAACAAATTATCACAACAACATAAGTCTGAGAAATAAGACTTGAACAAGAGTAATGATAAAAGAGACTATGAAAGAGAGACTGTCAAAGAACTTATTATGAGAAGTAGTCCCAGACTAGATTTAAAAGGATAGGACATATATTACAGAAACTTTCCTAATGAGATTTTTATTGCACTTAGCTTAATATATTAATGAACATGCTTGAAGACTTTTCTATCAAAGTATGAAGAAAAACTTAAGAATTACTAGACAACAGATCTGTTATACCTCCATTATAATTCCACAGGAACTCACATTGCAGTGATTCATACTGGCATTACATTTAGAATACTTTACAATTTGAAGTTCTAAAATACAATGCTGTTCTTAAGTAAAACATCAAACTCTGTACCTCTAAAAGAATTATGTATTCAGTAGCCTAATTTTATATAACTTTGACAAAATATTGGAGAATGAGAAAGGAAAGTAAAGGTTTCAAGGTCTTGGCTTTGTTATAGAAATTAGTTGGTTCATACATCATAAGAATTTTAGCTCAATTTGTCGATCTTACTGAGCACAAAGTTCAAAAAGATTTTTAAAAAGCAAAAAAATACCCTTCTATAGTCATCAACTACATATTAATACTACAACAAAAAATAAATCAGCTTCCATTCTGCAACATTAAGCTTGATCAAGAAGTAACATCTTCTACACATTGCAGGGAGACAATTTTTCAAGCGTCTCTCATGTATCTGAACATTTTCAAAGGCATTAACAGTTAACTTGTTCCAGATTCTTTTCCAAGTATGTTTGCATAACAGGCAGAATTGCATAGATAGATATGTCTCTTCCTAGAGTAGATTTGTTTACTTTCCAGAAAATAAAGATGGAGACATTTCTCTCCCTGGAGCAGATTTGCATGACATTCCAGAATAATAAGGATCATCTCTCTCTCCTAAGGGGAAGATGGGCTGATTTGCCTGCATAAGACCAGGGTTTCCTACTTACAAAACCATCACACTGCCTGGCACCAACTAATCCTAATTTTATCACTGCATGAGAATTGTAATTCTAAAAACCAGTGCAGCATTGTAATTTCTGCTACTGTCATTGTAATAAATTGTCTGTTCTCTGACCCTATAATCTCAGGTCTCCTGCCAATATCTATGATTCTGTGTCAGGCTGACATACTTGCATGCCAATAGGGTATAATCTTACATCTTGCCAAGTTTCTGATTTGAAAGATATAAAATAAGGCAACAATATCAGATCTTAATTTCAACAAATATGCACAACTGAATTCTGAATTTAGAAAAAAAATAACTTACTTTAAGATCCTTTTGCATATTCATAAATGAGGTCTAGGATGAGAACATGGGGAATATTCTGATTTAGCTTTTTAAGGATTAAAAAAACCAAAATTCTTCAGGACAGAGTCTGGGATCATTGAGGACAGAAATATTCATGTTTTAAGAGTTTAAAAAGAAAAGGCTTAAGAGTTTAAAAAGAAAAACTTTGCCATCAGTATTTTTTTTTTTTTTTTTTTTACAGAAAAAAAGGACTTGTATCAAGGAAAATGGTATATTTTCTTAAAATTAACAATGTGGATAAGTTTTTTTAAAAGCTAAAATAATTCATCTAAAAATACCACTACATAGAAATAATTACTCTGAACATCAGGTAAGTATCATTCCAACAATGCTTTATGAATAAGAAATGCAGTAGGCTGGAAGGACAAAATAAAGGACTAAACTCATAAATGCATTTTATTAAAAGGGGTTCATACTATGCATATCATTTTTAATTCTTTAATTTTAGTCAAAGAAAACCAAATGTAGTAAAACTGAAGGCATTGTTTAACTTCAGATAATTCTTCACCCCAAAAAGTTTAATTAGGTTCTAAAGGCTAAGAGAAGATATCCTGGGCAGGATAAAAATGCTGGACTTTTAATGACAACTCAATTAATTTGTCATTCAGTGTTAACTGATTTCCTTCTGTGAGAGAGAAGATAGCATGTTTTAACTCCCAGCCCCACCTTCAATCTAATCATATTATTTTATAATATATTATAGATTCATATTCTATACTGCAGCCATAATTCACATAATCTAGACATAATATATCTACCTTCCAAGGAAATTTTTTGACAAAATTACTCTATTTCTAAATTCATTTTAATTCTTTATTGGACGAACATCTGCAAGTAGTTTGTTGGGGTGTTTTTGTTGGTTTGTGTGTGTGTGTGTTTTTCTTTTTCTTTTTATATAGAAGTCTTAACATTTTTCATTTTATAAAGAGTTTTTGCTTTCATTCTTCAAGAATAGCTCCATTAGGATTAAAAATTTGGTTCAAACTTTCTTTCCTTTACAGATTTGTAGTCACTGTGCCACCACCTTTAAGCTACATGTGTTCCTGATGCTTGTTGTACTCCATTGGTCATTCACTCATTCTCCATTCATCATTTTATTGGGAAGATATCAATGTCAAGCAGTTTCATCCAAATACTCATAGATGTCACATTTGAATTTTTTTCCTTTTTTCTTTATTCCTAAAGGACAATTTGGCTTTTGGTAAAATTATTGGATTCCACTTTCACTACCTCTGAAGTTTGTAAATAATGCTTCATTATTTTCAGAGTAAATATTGTGGAGATATAAGAGGTCAAGCTATCCTCCTGTTTATAAATTTTGCACATTTTGGGGTTTGCATTTAAGTGTCTTCCTAAATACTTTATGGAGAATTTCAAAATTGGAGTAAGTTTTATTGCTAATTGTTGTTTCTCAATTTTTCCTGAAAATATGCCCATTAGGTCATACAGAATCAGATCATTTCAAGGAAATTTTCTTCCAGCTTCCTGAAGAATTTCTTGGTTTTTCTACTTGACATTTATATCCATATGTTAGATGCCTTTATCATCATTCACATTTAATTGATTTTAGCTACGATTTAATTTTTAATTGGAATACACTGATTATGTCAATTTTCCCCTCTACAATAGTAATTTGACTTTTGCTATATTCTGTTCCTATTTCTAATGGACTAATTAATTTCTATAATAGTGCTATACTAATCTTAATTTTGTTCCCTTATTCAATCAATATTAATCTCTTGCAGTACCATCTTTTGAGTTTTTAACTCTCTGAAATTCAGATTCTTTCTGAGTTCTTCTATAGAACAAAAAGGCATGAGGATATTTTGGGGGAAGGGAGAGACTTGAGATTTCTTCCAGAAATCTCACTTCTGCTTTGTGTGCATGACAATTATTTTAGTATAAATTTCATAGTTTCCTGGTTATTTTCTATGAGTTAGTTAAAAATTGATAGGTACTGATAGTTTTCCCTGCTTCTGCTGAGATGCCATAGAAAATGAAAAGATTTTTTCTACTTTTAGAGTATTTTTCTAAGACATATCCTTTGCCTTTACTTAAGCCCCTCGATCTGTTTCTAAGTTAAAAATAAAAGAATTATCTGGATTTAATGAACCATCTTTTGCCCTATTACAATGTCTTAGAGATCCACGGGCAGGGTTTAGAAGACATCATGAGCCAGATTATCATCTTCACTTTCTTTCTTGATTGTTATTGTTTAAGATTACCATCTTCACTTTCTTTCTTGATTGTTATCATTTAAGGTTTACCTATTGAGCCCCTTACCTTTGTTTGGTTACTGTTAGTAATTTTGCTTGCTTAATTTATTATGTTTTAAAACACTAGAGAAGGAGGATTTTGTAAATGATCTTCACTCCATCATGTTTACCTGGTTGTCACTACCATTTTTAAATATTTCCAGGAATTATTTTATTTTACTTTTATATTGTATGTGTTAAAAAAGGAAAGTATTCCCTAAACATTGAGAGTATTTTTAAGATTAGTATTTCTGAAAGAACTTCATTTCATTTTTTTCATTAAGAACATGCAACTTCATATACACATATCACACATATGTGTAATTTTTATTAGATTAAATTGAAAACAGTGACTTTGTCATTAAAATACTCCATAATCTATCTATATTATACTGATTCAAATCCTAATCATCCAACTCCACTCTTCGACACAAATATTCTTCAACTCTAAGGCCCTTTTTCTGTATTGTTATAAACACTTGGCTCATTCATGCCCGTGACAACTTCAGCTCCATATTGACTTCAATATCTTCTTGTTTCTCTCAAGCTTAAAGCTTATATATTTCTTAAAATTTAAGAAAATAATGCACTCTTAGAATATAGGATATAGATATATGTAAAGCACAGTGCTCAGCTACTTAATATTGTTACTATAAATATAATTAAAATATATTTGCTCAATTATTTTTGACAAATTAAAACCTCTAATTAAAACAGTCATTCATCATCTATGCTCATAGACTAAGACAGAAATGCACACACAATATTTTTATAAAAGGTATTAAATATTAGTA